CAACACCAAAACTCTAAAGCATCAACTCTTCTTTGGTCTTCCTTATTCTTTATCCAGCTTTCACATGTATATGAGATGACTGAAAATTTAATGGTTTGGGTTAGCCGCACTTTAATTCTTCAAAGATAATCTGCTCTTCAGCACTTTAATGAGATCTTCTGCAGCAGATTTGCTCAGTTCAAATATCAAGTTGTTGTTAGTCTGATTTCTTGACTGCTGCTTCCATTGGTGTTGATGATGGAACCACATAATATGAAATCTTTGACAACTTCAGTCTTTTGTCCATTTATCATGATGCTGCTTATTGGTCCAGTTGTGAGGATTTTCATTTTCTTTTGTTGAGGTGTAATCCATACTGCAGACTGTAGTCTTTAATCTTCATCACTAAGTGCTTCAAATCATCTTCACTTTTAGCAAGCAAAGTTTTATCATTTGCATATCACAGGTTGTTAATGACTCTTTCTCCAATCCTGATGCCACGTTCATTTTCATATAGTCTAGTTCTGGGATTATTTGCTCAGCACACATTGATTAAGTATGGTGAAAGGATAAAACCCTGACATACTCCCTTCCTGATTTTAAGCCATGCAGTTTCCCCTTGGTCTGTTCAAACAATAGCCTCCTGGTCTATGTACAGGTTCCTCATGAGCACAATTAAATGTTCTGGAATTCTTATTCTTCTCAATATGATCCATAATTTGTTATGATCCACACTGTTGAATGCTTGTCCATAGTCAATAAAACATAAGTAAACATCTTTCTGGTATTCTTTGCTTTTCAGCCAAGATCCTTCTGACATCAGCAATGATGTCCCTGGTCCCATGTCCTGTTCTGAATCCAGCTTGAATTTCTGAAAGTTCCCTGTCAATATACTGCTGCAACCGTTTTTTAATTATCTTCAGTAAGATTTTCTTTGTGTGTGATATTAATGATATTGTTTGATAATTTCTACGTTCTATGGGATCACTTTTCTTTGGAGTGGGTACAAATAAGGATCTTTTCCAGTCAGTTGACCAGGTAGCTGTCTTCCAAATTTCTTGACATAGACGAGTAAGTGCCTCCAGTGCAGCATCCGTTTGTTGAAACACCTCAATGGGTATTCCATCAATTCCTGGAGCTTTGTTTTTTTGCCAATTCCTTCAGTGAAGCTTTGACTTCTTCTTTCCATACCATTGGTTCTTGATCATACGCCACCTCCTGAAATGGATGAACGCTGACCAATTCCTTTTGGTATAGTGACTGTGTATTCCTTCCATCTCCTTTGATGTTTCCTGCATCACTCAGTATTTTGCCCATAGAATCTTTTGATATTGCAACTTGAGGCTTGGATTTTTTCTTCAGTTCTTTCAGTTTGAGAAATGCTGTGTTCTTCCCTTTTGGTTTTCTAAGTCTATGTCTTTGCACATTTCATTATAATAATTGACTTTATCTTCTCGAGCTGCTCTTTGAAGTCTTCTGTTCAGGTCTTTTATCTTGTTATTTGCTCCATTTGCTTTAGCTACTCTCTATTAAAGAGCAAATTTTGGTGTCTGTTCTGACATCCATTTTGGTCATTTCTCCCTTTCTGTCTTTTTAATAACTCTTTGTTTTCTTCATATATGATGTTCTTGATATCATCCTGAACTTTGTCTGGTTTTTGGTCATTGGTGTTCAGTAGGTCAAATCTGTTCTTCAGATGGTGTCTAAATTCAGGTGGGATATAATCAAGGTCATATACATTGACTCCTGTGGACTTGTTTTAATTCTCTTCAGCTTCAACTTGAACTTGCATATAAGTAGTTGAGGTCTGTTCCCCAGTAAGATCCTAGCCTTGTTTTGGCTGAAGATACTCAGCTTCTCCATCACCTCTTTGCACAGCTGTAGTCTATCTGATTCCTGTGTATTCCATCTGGTAAGGTACACTTATAGCCTCCATTTATGTTGTTGAAAAAAGGTATTTGCAATGAATAAGTTCTTCATCTTGCAAAATTCTATTACATGATCTCCAGCGTCATTTCTATCACCAACACCGTATTTTCCAACTACCAATGATTCTTCTTTGCTTCCAACTTTTCCATTCCAATCACTAATAATAATCAAAACATCCTGATTGCATGTTTGGTCAATTTTAGACTGCAGAAGTTGGCAAAAAATCTTTATTTCTTTGTCTTTGGCTTTGGTGGTTGGTTAGTAAATTTGAAAAACAGTTGTATTAACTTGTCTTCCTTGCAGGTATATGGATATTATCCTATCACTGACAGTATTGTACTTCAGGATAGATCTTTTTTTTATTTTCATTTTATTTTATTCTTTTTTCATTTCTGCAGTGTTCCCTCCCCTCTCCTCCCACCCCTGGTAACCAACAAAGAAAAATTCCTTCCATATATAAACTTTTACTTCAGGATAGATGTTGAGGGATTCTTTGTGACGATGAATGCCATGTCATTCCTCTTCAACTTGTCATTCCTGGCATAGTAGATCCTATGGTTGTCTGAGTCAAAATGGCCAAAACCAGTCCATCGACATCATTAAGGCTGACTCTCCTTTGAAAAGGCAGTTGTGTTTTGAATACCTTCCGACTTGAGGGATTCATCTTCCAGCACTATATCAGCAATGTTTTAGGGCTATTCATAAAGTTTTCCAGTAATATATCAGTTTTTCACTGCTGTTCATAAGGTTTTCACTGGTCAATCAGTTTCTTGAAAAGTGGATGGCCCCTTCCTTCTTCTGAGTCTGTCTTAGTCTGGAAGCTCTACTGAAACCTATCCACCATGGGTGACCCTGCCAGTATTTGAAATACCAGTGGCATAGCCTCCACTCTCACAGTAACATGCAAGCCACCAAGGTAGGACAAACTGACAGTTGATAATTCTATTAATAGTAGAAAACAAACAAACACAAACACACACAAGATCATTCACAAAAATAAAACTAAGATGGATTATTTGAGCTAGGTGTAGGGAATTAATCCAGTTCCTAATGGAAAGCCCAAGATTTCTGTTTGTGTGGTAGATAAGGCAGTTGGCTACTAACCAGAAGGTCAGTGGTTCAAACCCACTGGCCACTCCCGTAAAGATTTAGAGCTTCAGAAACTGGAGTCAGGATGGTTATGAGTCAGAATTGACTTGATAACAATGAGTTTGGTGTTTTTGAATGGAACAGACTTCAACAATAAGTATTGAATTTTGCACATTTTTTGTCAGAGTACATTGTATAGTGGGACAGCATTCCTCTGTCATGCTGAAATATGATGGAGTTGTTGTTATTGTTGTTATGTGCCGTTGAGTCAGCCCTGACTCATAGCGACCCCTCCTTGGGTTTCCAAGGCAGTAGATTGTCCAACCTTCCTTCCGAAGAGTGGCTGGTGGATTTGAACTGCCAGCCTTCTGCTTAGCAGTCAAGTGTACTAGGCACTATGCTACCAGAACTCCCATGATGGAGTTAGAAAGTAAAAAAAAACCCATCTTTTCTATTGCCTTCCAAGAGTCCGGGTGGTGCAGTGCTTAAAACACCTGGCTGTTAACAGAAGGGTCCTGTCACTCTGCAGGAGAATGATGTAGCAGTCTGCTTCCTTAAAGATTACAGCCTTAGAAATCCTATGGGGCAGTTCTACTCTGTCTAACAGTGTCACTGTGAGTGGGAATGGATTCCATGACAATGTGTTTGGTTTTGTAGCCTTCCTTTTCTTTGTTTAACTTTAGTAGTATACTCAGGAAAAAGTAAAAGTGGAAATCACAATACGTCTAATGCCAGTGATTTTTTTTTTTTTTTTTTTAAATACTAAGCTAACTTTCTCCTGGGGGTGGCCAGTTGCTAAGGGAGATGGGTTTGAAAGGGCCCTATTAACCCAAGGTCAACCGATGGTGTAGCTACAAAACTGGAGCCAGGCAGGGTCCACTTCGGAGAGCCAGATGAGTAGGCTTAATTCATGTCCTTCCCCTGCAGGAACGCGTAGTGTCAGAGAATGGGCTTTTTGGAAAGAATGGAGACTGGGGCAGATGATGATTTCTCCGGTTAGAGATGAAATCTGGCATTAAGAGGGCCTCACTGAATCCCAGTAATAACCAAACAACTGGTGTTGTCCAGGGCAGGAAAGTGGGAGGCAGGAAGCAGAAAGGCTCAAACTTCTTTCCTTGGGTAGGCTCAGGGATTTACTTTTAGCAAATATTTATTGGGGTCTAATAAGTGTCAGGCATGGTGTAAAGCGCTAGGATGCAAAGCCCAGTGATATATGGTCTTGGCTCACAGTTCAGCAGAATGGCTTTAACGTTCTTCAAGGGCTTTGATAACTTTTATCCTGGGAGTTATCAGGGTAAGTTGTATCTAAATCCACCCAGAATTTTAAAGATTTCAAAACAAAGAGAGAAAAAAATCAATCAAACAAACAAAAAAACCAAAACCGAGATACGGGATTGGGGTGGAGGAAAAGAGTTGCAGGGATTGATTCCAGACTTGGGAGCCGCCAGACACGGAGCTGAGGTGATGTTGCCTCCTGGCTGGAGACAGTGAAGACCGTCCCCCGCATTGGCATACTCTGGCTTGACTCCGGCGCAGCCAGGGAGGGCGGCTGGCAGCAGGGAGCCCAGCAGGGGCCAAGTGGAGGTCGAGCTCGCGGGCGACGCTGCGTGCCTAGTACCCACAACCTCGCGCCCACAGGGGAAGATTTCTCGGCTCGTGCCCCTGTTGGGTACCAAGAACTCAGGCCTCACCATTCCCCGGTCCGTCCGTGCCTTCTCTTTCCCAGTTCTTGCCACCAGTCGTGTCTCAGACCAGCTCCAGAGTGCTCCACTCACGACCGCCCTCGGCTGTCCAGACTCACCGCGCCCCAGGGGGCAGGAGCAGAAGCGCGGCGCTGCCGGAGGCTAGAAGAAGAGAGAGAGGCGGTCGCGGGCTTGGGATGGGAGGGGGCTAGAGAGGGGGATTCGAGTGATGGTGCAGCTCCGCCCCCCGCCCCCTCCTCTCGTCGGGTTCAGAACCAGAGGAGCCAGAGAGCATGGACCAAACCCCGCTGCGCTGGCACCATGACGCTCACCGGGTTGGTGACTGCTCTGATTTTAGGGGCGATCTCCGAAGTGGTCAGCTTTCATCCGATCCTCAGTTACTCCCTCCACCTTCCCACTCAACCTCGGCAGCAGAAGACGCCTCCAGCGCCTCCTTTTCCCCGAGTCCCGCGCCCTCAGCTCGCTCTACACTCCCAGCGCCTGCATGCGGTCCGTGCGGCTCACACGACCCAGCCGCACCTCCGGGGCTGCCCGGCAGGCGAGCCGTGGGTCAGCGTGACGGACTTCGGCGCCGCATGTCTACGTTGGGCAGAAGTGCCACCCTTCCTGGAGCGATCGCCTCCGGCGAGTTGGGCTCAGCTGCGAGGGCAGCGCCACAACTTTTGTCGGAGCCCAGACCGCGCCGGCAGACCTTGGTGCTTCTATGAGAACGCCCACGGCAAAGTGGACTGGGGCTACTGCGACTGCAGACACGGTGAGTGGCCTGGGGCAGCAGCCGTGACTCCGGACTGGCGCAGAGCCAACCTGGGTTGGGGCGGGCGTAAGTGTCTCTAGGAGAGAGAGAGAGAGGGTGGGGTAGCGAGTTTGCATTACAGAGTGTGGTAGTGGGCTACGACAAAGTACATTAGTACCATAGTTAAAGTTACGAATGTATGCTTTGTATGTGCAGGTTGTCAGCAGTTACAGTTTCTATGTAAGGTGCTGCTTGGGTTCCTGCCTTCTGGCAACTCTGTGGGTATATAAAACAAACGAACAAATAAAAACTCGCTGCGGTCGAGTCCATCCGGACTCGCAGCGACCCCTCCTTGGATTAACGAGACGGTATCTCTACGGAAGTAGATTGCCCAGTCTTCCTAACAATGAGTGACTGACTGCTGGGTTTGAACCGCCATCCTTCTGGTTAGCAGTCAGATGTCTTAGACACTACACTACCAGAGCTCCCTGTTGTTGTTGTTTGCCATCGAGTCGCACCCGACTCATAGCGAAGCCCCTTGGGTTTCCGAGGCAGTATCACTACGAAAGTAGATTGCCCCATCTTCCTTCTGAAGAGTGGCTGGTGGGTTTGAACCTCCAGCCTTCTGGTTAGCAGTCAAAATGTTTTAGGCACTAGGCTACCAGAGCTCCTACCAGAACTCCCTATAGTTGTGTAAATGTGTTGGGCGGATGTGTATTCTCTAGATCTGCTAGCCTTTATGGTGTTGCCATATTTACATAGAAGAAGGGAAGAAAAGGAGGAAAGAAAATTGCTAATTACTTGTTATGAAAAGGGAAATATTAAATTTACTATGTCAATCAATAACCTCCTCCCTGCCCCATATGTCCCTACTTAGAAAAATGTGGTATTTTTTTTTTGCTACTTAATCCCATCATTCATCTTCGTTTGAAAAAATATGACAAAATTTGCATTTTTTTAGCTTTGTAAAATTAAATCTTTTCAGAGACTCTGGGCCAAAATACATCTTGTTCAGATTCTGAGGCACAATATGGTAAGATCACCAGGGAGTGAAAGAAAGAAAAAGGGAAAATAGGTGGAAGAGGAACTGCCCTAGCATAGAAGCAACTTAACATAGTCAAATACAGTTTTTCAGATTTCCATCACTCAGCTTTAAATGCTATTTGTGGGAAATTGGGATTTGTTAGCAATGTCAAGAGATAAAGTTGGTAAGACACTTTAGTTTTGTGTCAATAAAGGCATCACACTGATGAATTTAATGTAAATGAAAAATCTACCTTTTAACAGTTCCTCATTTTGAATTGTTGGGGTTTCATTTAATATTAGGGTCATTTTTTCCTTCTTTGTTTAAATAACTGGGGAAGAAAAACCTTGTGTCCTTCAAAGATTGAATTCCCCTTAATACATTTTTTTTGGCAGCTTTCCATCCCAGTAGGTGGGGTAGAGGCTTCATGAATTGGGATTCTGAAACATGTACTTTATACCTTTTTGGAGGTTAACTTTTCCCATGTCATTTTTTTTTTTTTTAACAGAAATATTATTTATGTCTTCTTTCAGTTGCATTAGTGCTTTGTGTTAAAGGAAAGTGATAGGAAGGTTAAGACCACTTATCCTTCATCTTAGAGAATGAAGTCATTCCTATACTCATGTTTCGTGGACAGAATGCAAATGTTGCTATAAAAAATTTGTAGTGATATCAAGCAAAGGGCCTTAGCATTGTCTTATTATTTACTGTAGGAGATTATTAGTAGTAAAATCTAATGTTTAGCAAGTATTGGCAATTTTTTTTTGTTTTCCTATTATTCTTAGTTTTGTAAATGGGTAAGGGTGCAGGATAATTAGGATATAAATGTGTGGGAAAGAATACACATGTTTCCTTTAAATGTATATAAACACATACAGAGACTGGAATTCAAAGTTAAAGAAACTACAGTGATCTATTGCTATATTTCTGATATATAACTTTTTCAGCTTTATATTCCAAATGAGAGCAGTTTGCCTTTGGGTTTCTTTGCCCTCTCTCCCTTTTAAATGAAAACATTTAAATATTTAAATCCAACAGTCACTCAGACTTTTTACGATGCCTTTTTTGGTTTAAGTTCACAAAGGAGCTCTGGTGGAGTAGTGGTTAGACTATTTGGCTGCCAACCAAAAGGTCGCCAGTTTAAACCCACCAGCCATTCCATGGGGAGAAAGACAAGGCAGTCTGCTTTCATAAAGATTTATTGGAAACCCTATCAGGCAGTTCTGCTCTGTTCTAAATGATTGTGAGTTGGAATCTACTCAGTGGCAGTGTGTTTGGTTTAGTGACATTCATAACTAATTCTCACTAGACAAAATCCCAAAGGCTACATAATAGTTGTGTGTGCTTCTTGGAGTAAAGTGATTGGACACAACAGAAACAAATCACCCAAGTGGGGGAGATAAATGCCTTCTCACCCCTCCCCCCCAAAAAAAACCAGTTGGCTACATGATAGTTGAATTTCTTTCAAAGACTCAGTCCTGATGTCCAAAGCTTTCCACTCTGTTTACTCCTCAGGTGCTGGTTAGGCATAGTCCACACCTTGGAACTGACTAGTATATTTTGAATCGTATGAGTTTCCTGGCCCTACATTTCAGTCGGGAGCTCTGGTAGCACAGTGCCTAAAGGCACTTGACTGCTAACTAGAAGGCTGGCAGTTCAAACCCACCAGCCACTCCTTGGAAGAAAGATGGGGCAATCTACCTCCATAGTGATATGCCTCAGAAACCCAAGGAGGGGATGCTATGAGTCGGGTCTGACTCGACGGCACATTAACAACAACAACAACATTTCAGTTAGATGTGTGAACTGGAAGTATCCTTGAAAGGTGAAAAGAATATTAAATTGTGCTATTGTGTTTTAGAAAACATTGGTGTCCCTTTTGGCTCTGTCAGTAGCTACGCAATGTTGGGTAAGACTCTTGACTCTATTTTTTTTTCATCTCAAAGAAAGCAGTGTCTGAATAGATTAATTCTAAGTAACTTCCCAGCTCTGAACATGTATACAACATGACCTGGTCTGATAATAACATATAGGATTTATTGAGCATTCATTCTGTGCTGGATGATGGATTAGCACTTTATATTCATTTTCTCATTTAATTCTTGTAGCAGCCTTATGAAATAACATCTTACAGATGAAGATATCAGGAGGCAATGTACTAGGTGTGTAAAAGAAAGTTGGATTAAATATGTACATTTTCAGCTTATTTTCCTCTAGTTCTTTGCTTATTTACCCATGGAAAAATACCTATATTATGTAGTGATCCTCTTTTTGTAGATATGGGCTAGCCAAAAAGTAATAGAGAAAGGAATTATGTTTGGCTCAATGCACAGGATTTCCAGTCTCTTATGACCTGAAAATCTCCAAGGTTTTTTTTCCTTTTATGATAACCAGCAAAACCAAAAGAAAAGAAGAATTTATAGTAATGAGATCAGTCCTTTAACAAACAAACTGGTAGCTAGAATCTGGTATGCGTTGCGTGAAGAGAAATGGTGAAATTGGTGCTTTCATGATGAAGGGTTGGTTGAAGTCCAGTTGAAGGGTGGGGAGAAGGCTGATGTGGTCCCAGATCCTGGCTCTGGCATGAGTCAGAGCAGGGTATGTGGGGTTGGTTGGCCGGAAGGGCCTCTGGAGGCATCAGTGGCTCAAATGTCTGGGATGGAGAAATGTGATGCCTGGGCTTTAGTTGTATGAGCCTTGCCAATTTGTAATGAAGACTCATTCAGTGGACCACCTCAAATCAGCTCCGTGGAAAAGTTTACAAAGTAGGAATCAGAATCACCTCAAGACTTGTTAAAATACAAATTCCTAATTTCTCCCCTAAAGGCCCTGATGAAGTGATTCTTAGACGTGGCTTGGAATGTGCACTTCTAATGAGTAGCCAAGGTAATTTGAATTGTGAAGTCTCTGCCACAATCAGAGAATACCCACAGCAGGGTTTCAAAACCCACCTAGAATATATATCATGGGAGCTCTGATAGTGTAGTGCCTAAGGCACTTGACTGCTAATCAGAAGGCTAGCGGTTCAAACCCACCAGCCACTCCTCGGAAGGAAGATGGGGCAATCTACTTCCATAGTGATACTGCCTCGGTGATCATGTAGACTAACTGAACCTACCATCCTGTGACTTACTCCTGCTAGGCTTGGGATGCATAAGTCATGTTGATGGTCATTTTTTGTGTGGTTTAGAAAATGGCACTGCTGTTTTTTATCTGTCTGGGTAGGGATAATAATGACCTAGGTCATCAGGATATGATTATGAACTGAATGTAAGCTGGGTTATTTACACATTGCTAGAGAAGGCATTAATAGAACTTGATCTCCCCTTCCCTCCAACAATAATTGCCAATAATTTAGAATCTTGACTGGGAGGGGAAATCACTTCCAGTCTGTGGTTGGCATGTCAGATGGGACAACTTGCTTGATGCTGTTCTAGGAAATCCCCTGTGTTAAAATAAGTCAAGTAGAACTCAACCATCGGTGGCTGAAACTGATGGGTAAAATGGAAAAAATACATGATAATGCTGTCATAATTGAGATTTTACCAGAGGAAAGAAGTCATAGATCTCATTTTCTATCATGTCACACTATTCATTCATATGCACAAACCCAACCTCAAAGCTCTTGATTCAAATGGAGAAAGTGGACTTGTGGGAAAAGTACTATTGTTTATGGGCTGTCCTCTTTGAAGTCCATCTGTTGTTTGCAGAGAATGTTAATTAAAATGTTGGCTGAAAGCTGCTGTTCCCTTCCTTTTTTTTTTTTAAATTATTGTAATGCCACATCTTGAGTCTATGTAGCAGGTGCAGAAAAACATTTATTAGCAATACCAGATTTGATACATTCCCTGGCTAAATATTAAATATTTAGCTCAATCTGCTTTTCAGACTAAGGCAGATTGTAAAATACTTTTGATTTGGGGCATATCTGACTCTTAACTAGATTGAAGATTCTTTGGAAGGAAAATGAGATATCCAGTTACTTTGCCTTTTCTGA